TTGTTTGTGATGTTGGTTTTTTTTTGGTTTTTTTTTTGGCTATTGTTGATCCTTGTGTGTTTTTTTCAAACAGCGGTAATCTCATCTCTTAAAAGTTAATTCAGCTATACTGAAAAGAAATGTTGTGTGTAAGATGAGATTCCTGGAGTTGCACAGCACTTGAATTAATTGCGAGGTACCTCATTCGCATTCTGGCCAACTGGAGTATCCAGGAGTACTTTATAATTCAGTTATATTCTTCTTCTAGGACTCCAAGATCATACTGCAAAGGAGATCTGCAAAAAGAAATCTCAGAATGAAATTTTGTGCCTTAGTATGGGGGCTTTTCTGTGCTGGAAAGCCAGCAGTGTGTCAGTCATAAGCTGTGGGCTTGCAGAGTTATTTAAATTTGGTTTTCAGAGGTATCCTCACCTAATAAAGTGGTTGTATGGAGAGCCACATCTTAAAGCCTCACTTTGAAACGCTTGTCCTGTGAGTGCTATTTTAAATATGTGGTGCAAGTATATTGCAAGTGTGCTGTAATCCACTGGACTGTAGGTCCTTAGGTGCTTTATTACCTTTTAGTACTCTTAACTGAGATTTTTGTGTCCCTAAAAAGTCCTGGAGGAAGCAGGAAATAACATAGCCTATTAGGATCCCAGCATGTGAAGTAAGTTGTAAAATTCTGTTTTGCTTGTTTTAATAATGTTGTTTTTCACTCCAGAGCACTGCTTCTTTATTTTACTATCAAGTTATCATCTTTAGTGTGATCTCTGGAGCAATGCTTAAATGTAGTGAAATACAGATTTCAGTATTACTGTAGCCCAGTGCCTGAGGAATGAGTCAGGTCTCACTGTTGTTCAGTGGTAGTCAGTGGAGGGAGTGGATCCCAGCCGTGGCTCCGATCACGGCAGGTAGGCTGGGCTGGCTGGAGACCAAAGCTGCCCAGGACCTTCCCCTTGCACGAGGTTGGCCCTTATACTTTGAGAAATCAACGGCAAGGTGAATCCGGGAGCCGGGCCTCCTGGTGCCTGGCCCACTAGTATTTGCTGCAGCTGTAACTCATGTAGTGCAACGGGAACAGATGAAGCTTCTACTGACGAAGAAAAGAGGTATTTCTGTTATGTAAAATTCATAGAAATGACTTTCACACCAAAAGATTTGTTAGCAGAATGCTAGCATTAATTACAGACAGAATGGGCTGTTTATTGGCTTAAGATTCTCCTTTTTTTGACAGATGTGTAGATCAGCAACAGAACTTTGACGCTGGACGTTTTCCACTAACAGATGTGATGCATCTGCTGTTTTTTGGCTTAACGGCAACAAGAGTTAAGGTTTTTCCTCTCCTCTCATTAGAAGGTATCAGGCAGGGAAGGCAATATCCCAATCCTCATCCAAAACAAACAAACAAAGCCGTTTGAAAAGGAAAGGTATTTAGCCTTTGGCCTAAAGGGAGCCATCTGGCATAGCGCCCTGGGAGTACACCTGAACTGCACCTGTAACACAGGCTGCTAAACAGATTTGGGCTTCTGTCGTCTTCATGATACACACAAACACTGTCTCTTTGATTTGGAAGTGCTTTAAGCCCAGGTTAGTGTACTTATGATTGAACTTGGTTTGAGCTTGGATTGAGCTTGGTGAGCATTGTCTGTTTTGGGCTGTTGCTCATCCTGAAGTTTCCTTAGAATGAAGCTTTCCAACCAGCATGCCCATACTAAGTGCTGCTTGTTTGGGTGCTTACCTCTGTGGGGAACCTGAGGTGTAGGCATGAAAGGATTAAGCTGGCAGAGTAATAGGGGGAAATCTTGATCTGTGCTCTTCAAGTTACTACAGGAGTGGTACAAAATACTACGCAGGCAGCATCCTGCATAGTGCAGGGTTGGAAAGTGAAGTGGAAGCTGAAGTGGACCCATGTTTGGGATCTGCACGTCCCTAAGCACAAGCAGCCTGGAGGTGTGTCCTGAGAGGCACACAGCTGAGCAGAAATGCTGACTAGGTATTGCTGCCAGACTACAGACACGAGTATGAGGTGTCAATGCAGATAAAGTTTTACTGGGTGTGCAAATTCACATCAGTTCTAGCACTGCCTATGCTTAGTGTTCTCTGTGTCCATGCAGACCAACAAAGCTGGATTGTCCTGTTACTGTTTCCCATTAGGTTTCAGCTACAAATTTAATATCTACACTAGGATAACATGCTTATACTAACTGATGTGCTCAGTGCAGGATGGTTGTGATGTGCTAGCTGAAGGGGTTATGTCCTAATAGGGAGCATAAGATTTGCTTTAGTCTGTTATTTCATGCATTAAAGCTACAGCTTGATCTTCTTAAAGCTTTAAGAAGATCATCACAGCGTGTGTAAAAGCACACTTCATTTTTGCTAGCATAGGAGAGGACGTAAAGGCAAAAATATCTAAAAACTCTAGTACGAAATAATCATTTAGATGAAGGGAATACTGTGAAATAGTTTTGGTTTATCTGATGGTAAGGAGCTTTTTGAAGTATGTTAGGTAATAAAGTGCATTTTGTTTATTTATTTAGAACTGTAAACACAACAAAGACAATGGATGCATTTCCATAAAAATAATTGTGAAAAGATGCAATTGACCAAAACGTCAAGCTGTTTTTCTCCTTGACAGCAGCCAAATATTGATAGCTGCACCAAAATAAAACCTGCAGAAAGTGGAGGTGAACTTTTACCTCATCTTACTTGGTTCATTTAAAAAAAAAACAAAAGAAACAATCTCATTGCTCACCCTTTTGCCACTTGTAGAGCAAATAACACAAGAGTGCCTGTCCTGCAGCCTGCAACAGCCCTTATGATGCTCACAACTGGGAGCTCTTGTGATGGTGGCATTTGTCTGCTTGGTGCAGTAGGGGAAAGTTGTGTCTATAGTTACACGTAGGGGGAGTGGAGCCTGCGGGATTATTAGAAGCAGGAGCTTATTAGGATTGCAAATGTAAGCTGTTTTACATTTGTTAATTTGTAAACTCACTGTACTGCTATCAAATTGCTAATGGCAAGCCCTTTGTATGAAGATTTGCACTTTTTCTTCATTCTGTTGCTGTGAAGTATGTTTAGTCACAGTACGGTGCAGTGGTGCACCAGGGAGCCCCAGCAGTTCTCTGAAGGGCTGCAGGCCATGTGTGGCCAGCAAGTGAGCCTTGCCCAAGCTTCAAGCAGCCCCATGCTTCTCCCTCAGTGGGATGGTTTTCTGCTAGGGATAGAAGGAAGAGAGCAGTTGAGAACTGGAGTTGATCACACAGGATTGTTGTTTGTTTCCCTGTGTGTGCGTTTTCTCCTCCACGGGGAGATGTGATTTTTTGCTGTATGAGGAGAAGCTAGCACTGTTGGAAACTGCAAAATGCCTCAGAGCAGGGGGACAGCAGGTCAGAGCAACCACACGTAGGTGACACAGTACTCCAGTCTGAGGAACTGATGAAGCTGTGTGGTGGAAAGCCTTTCTCTTGTGCAACTGGCTTGGTCTGGCTCCACTTGTGCTCACACAGGTGAAAAGGTGCATGCTGGTGTTCGCAAAGGAGAGCACTCACACTTCTTGCCTTTTCTCTCATGTGCTGGCATTTGCTATTCATTTAGGCACACATAACAGGTCAGATGAGGATACGGATCCAGAGGAAAGCTTCTTTTTCTTTCTACTACATCAGTTTTTAGCTTGGTCATGTTCTCTGGTGTCTCATCTGCGTCATCACATGAAAACAATAGTGGCAGTGAGGGAGATGGGGAGGGGGTCCAGCAAAGGGGTGCAGGATCCTTTCAGCAGATGCTTTCATTCAGCTTTGATTAAAATGCTCGTGTTGTGTTTCTGCCTGCTTATAAACAGACTTGGTAGATTGGACTGTTGAAATAACAAATCTTACCCAAGTTTGACATGAGCAGGGATTCCCATTCCTGATTTTCTGTTCAGGCAATGGTGCAGTTCAGAAAACAAATCCAAGAGGAAAAGTAATTCCCCCCCCCCCCCAATGCATCCTGCTACTGAGCTGAATTTTAGCCTAACCGGTTTTCCATAAGCACTAAAGGCAGACTGCATCTTTTGGCAACAGTGTTGTCTTCAGGGTTGTTTATGGGTTGTTGTGTGGTTTAGTTTGTTTTCTTGTTCTTAGTTAAGAATTCAGTGAACTGCATTTGTTGAAAGTAGAGAGAAATCTGCTCTGCTGTTTGAGCGATTTGGGGAGTTCACACAAAACAACATATCTATGTGATAATATGTGTGGTCACCCAGTCTTGGAGAAAAAAGAGCCTGCAGTTATCCAAAAGTGATATTTAGGCTGTTTCATTTTGCAGTGCAACTTCATCCATATTTTGAGTAAAACCCATAATTTTCTCCTTTTAGCCACCAGTTTCCCAAAAGCATTTGTATGTACGCTCTGTATTTGTAGCAGTGTTCAGAGCACCATGACCAGACCAGTCTGCTCCTACTTCTTTGAGACCCAAAGCAGCAGGGCTGTTTTCACTCAGTCTAAATGCTAGTGCCTGCAGATACAGAAAATAGAACTGATGCATCTGGGATCTTAACACCTTCTAGCTAATGCTTTAACAGAGAGGAGCCTGTGTATGCATACTCAGTGAGGATTACTGTCAACATATGAATGATAACTGAAAGGGACAAAAGAAGATTTAAAAATATTGAATGTTTTCTTGCTTTGGATGTCATTCCTGGAAAATGCTCATGTTAGTATCTGAATGTTCTGTTTTTGCTGGGCAATGGGATGCAGTGCACACAAAAGACCTTTTGATTGCTCAGTGTGGAGAAGCTGTGTGGGTTAAAGTTGCCAAAAAGGGCTGATAATGTCATCAAGAGTGTGCTTAGAACTGCTGTCCTTGTAGCTTATCAGACCAAAATACTGAAAAACTTTTGGACCCTTCTAAGCTTAATGTTGAAAAGAAAACGAGGTACTGCTAACTTGTTTTTTTCTTTGGAATCAGTGCTTTAGGAATTATTTTAATACACAGGCTATTACAACTCAGTGATATTTGCTTTTTCTTTTTTCCTTAAACAGAAAAAGCCACTGTCCTCTATAATAAAAGAAGTCTGCGATGGGTAAGTTCTGTGATGTACTGTGGTGTGGATACTGTACCTCTTTCAGTTATTAAATCAACATGGAGATAATGACTGTTCTGAAGAAAATTTAGGCATTCTTTATTACAAGCCATTAGGTTATTCAGCCTCGTAGTTGTGTTATCTTTGGACTTTGAATTTATAACGTGTCTTGGATCAACTACCTGCAAGATGAGGCTCCAAACAAAACTCTTCCATCATATGTGGGCAGTTCATTTAGCCAGTTTGTTTCTGTTCTACACAGATATGTATTTTTACCATCCTCACCTAATGGTTTTGATCCCTGCATCTCATAGGTGAAGGAACTGCTGCCCTGGCCATGGCTTGGATTTCCAAGCACTGCACAAATATTGTTTCAAGCAATTGCTACCATAGAGGAGAAGCCAGTTTACTTTTAATAGATTGCTGCTGAATTAAATGAGGTGGTGGTTTGAGCAATGTTATACATCATCTTAGCACTACAGACATTGGGTATTGTAAAAGCCAGCATAAAATTGTGGTATTGTAAATGTTTTTAGTAATCTAGTGGTATAATTACAAGAAAGGAATTAGACCTGGTTTTTTTTGTGGTTTTTTTTTTTAGACAGATCTGGAATGAATATCAGATCCTTATCAACTTTTTTTGGAGCACTGAAGTATCACTGTATTGACAAAATAGGGCTTTGTTTCAGTTATGCAAAGAGGAAATATCTAATTTATGGGATGTATTTGTACTGAAGTTTTCCCTTTGTGAAAATACATACTTTTTAAAACTTTGGAGCACATCATTTAGAACTACGAATCAGTATGAGAAATACATGGGAAGGGCAGGGCATTTATTTGATCACAGTCAAGTTATGCAAAGGATATTTTTTTTAATCTTTGACGTTTCATTTTGTAATTAATTTATTTTCATTTTTCTAAGGTGGTCTCTTGCAAATCATGATCAGTTTGCACTGCAGCATGCTGATAGTTCTAACTTCTACATCACAGAAAAGGTTGGTAAATCATTCAGCACAACTCTTGCATATTGCACTAAAATACTTGCTACAATTTATTTTAAGCTAACATACAAACAAAAAATACAGGTTTTTTTTCCAGAATGATACCAATGAGGATATGTGTACCAAGAGACCTTGTGTCATGATTTTGCAGTGATTTCTTGTGTTAGGAAAGTTGAAATAAAAGGCTGAATGTGCAGAGGCCCTCATGTCTATCAAGTTTAATCAGTCTTCAGCACTGAGATCTCAGCTTCCATATTTGTTCATGTTTAGTATTCTGCTGGAAAGCTGTGTTCAGGAAATTGAAATATGTGAAACACGAAGGGCTCTTTGAAGTATGAGGAGAACTTCAGTGCATATTGCTTCCCTCTTTGGTTGCTTACGTGGAAATAAGCTTTGATGACTGTGTAATATTTGCAACTCCTTCATGCCTGCTGCCTTGTCTCTTTCCTCCTGTGTGTATTCTGTTGCTGCCTTTTTTGTCCCCAGACAGAATGGCAGTGGATGATTCATGAAGTGATGCAATGATTTCAGCACTGAGTAGTGAAATGGCTGTAGCTGTAATAAAAATGGAATGTCTAGTCTGAATAAATGGGACATACTCATATGAATGAGGCGAAGTAGTACATTCATTCCTAGCATTACTGATAGAAATGTTGAAATTGCACAGACACACATGCACACACACACAGAGTAATTTGTTTGGGAGGTTGCACAAGGTTGCTGCAGAGGATGTGCGCTTGCAGCCCAGAAGGCCAGCTGCATGCTGGGTTGCATCAAGAGGAGTGTGTGACCAGCAGGTCAAAGGAGGCGATTCTGCCCTTCTTCTCTGCTGTTGTGAGTCCCCACCTGGAGTATTATGTCCAGTTCTGGGGCCCACAACACAAGGAGGATGTGGAGCTGTTGGAGTAAATCCAGAGGAGCACTGTGAAAATGACTAAAGGGCTGGAGCACCTCCCCTATGAGGACAGGCGGAGAGAGTTGGGGCTCTTCAGCCTAGAGAAGAGAAGGCTCTGGAGGGGCCTTCCAGCAGCCTTCCAGTACCCAGGAAAGCTGGGGAGAGTCTTTTTATAAAGGCATGTAGCAACAGGATGAGGGGAAATGGCTTTAAACTGGTAGAGGGCGGATTTAGACTGGGTGTTAGAAAGAAGTTCTTTATCGTGAGGGTGGTGAAACACTGGAACAGGTTACCAGCAATGTTATGAATGTCCCCATGGAGGCGTTTGAGGCCAGGCTGGATGGGGATTTGAGCAACCTGGCTTAGTGGGAGGTGTCCCTGGCCATAGCAGGGGGGTTGGAACCAAATGATCTTAAAGGTCCCTTCCAACCCAAACCATTCTGTGAGTCTTTGACAAAGAACGTGATTCAAAAGCTATTGATGCCAGCATGAAGATTCCCTCAGAGTTAGAGGCTTTTGAACTAAATAGGCCTGAGCTTAGCTGAATAGAGGCAGATACCTCTTGAACTGCTTTGTTATCAGTTCAGTTTTTGCTTGCGTTTAAACTGAGGAGTGACTTTGTTTTGTTTTGTATTTCACTGTTGTTTAGGAACTGCTAAACTCAGCTGAGACATGAATTGCAGCAAGAGAAAAGTTAGTTCTTATCCCCACCCAAGAAATAAAGGGAACTTTGACACAGTGGAGCATTTAGAAAAACTAAATTTAGCAAGATTACTAGAGCAGTTGCTCATAAGATAGTTCTGCTTGTATTTTTTTTTCTCCAGCAGTCCATTTCATCATTTAACTGTTTGTCACCCCAGACAACCTTCTCAGCAAGTCGTTGTCTGTTTTGGGATCTCTCCCTCTTTCCTTTTTTTTTTTTAAAAAAAAAAAAAAAAATAAAATCTCTTTTTCAAGTTTCAGTTGACAGACAGTCCATGACAAGGAGAACTATTGAAATAATTATTGTCTGCTGCATTTTTCCTCTACCCAAATTAAACATTGAGGCTGTTTTGCTAATTTTCCTGATTTGTGATGCAGCATTCTTCGATAAGCTAAGCACAGCTGAACTTGCCTGTTGGTGTTTAGACTCTGGATTGTACTGTATATATTTCCAAGATGAAGGGTTGAGCAAATACTTGGATTTGTTGAAGGAATTTGTTCTGATACAGAGGAGCCTTTCAGGCTTTGCCTCCACCTTTGGTGAGTAGGATCCTGTGGTTTTAGAGAAGATACACGTTTATGTTCTGCATAAAAAGAGGTGTGATGCCTTTGCCAGTGTTGAACTTACACTGAGGGTGGAAAAGGGTGGTCTTCTAGAAGAGGTCTGATCATACTGCTGAGAGGACTTTGAGTTTGTTTGTTCCCTACTGAAAATATGCAGTGGCTGAGTCACATAAATAAGAGAGAAGAGCTCTAAATGCCACCAGTATTACTCAGATGTCTGTGACTTTTATGAGTTATTGCTCAATGTTTATCACTGTTTGTTGGAGTGAGGCTGTAAAGAGAGGCTTATATAGGCTGTCACCCCTTCTGCAGGCTTTCCTTCGTTTGTGTATTGTGAGATATTGTTGCTTTCTGAATTAAAACATGGAGAATGCGAGGTATGAGGACAAACGCGTGTGCTTCAGTGAAGCTACAGCACTGATGATGAGGCCATAAAAGAAATGTTGCTTTAATTTACCTCTTACTAGGAGAACAGCAGCTCTTTTGCTACAGCTTCTGTTGAGCAAATGTTTTTAAGGCTCTCAGAGACTAACATAATGGCACTATGTATAAGCCATGTTACTGCAGAGCCTGGGTGATTCCTGATTTGAGACCTTCCAGTTAGAGATGATTTTTAAAAAATGCCATCATGTTTAAAAATACCAGAAAGAAAAGCAAAGTAGTGAAATGTTGTACAAGGTAACTAGAAACTTGTAGTGCAAATGCTACACAGCGTAAGACTGTCAGCACATGGCTCACAATTACTTATGTTTTTGGGTGGCAAACAGCGCATCTGTGTTTTGGTTGTCATATGCAGAACTCTTTATCTTTTGTAGCTGACCTATATTTCTTGATTATACTGTACATAAATGAAAATAACACCCAAACAGTTCTGTCTCTTACTTTTTATTTATGGCTGTACTTGGAAAAATGCCTCTACAGGAGTAGCAATAACTCCTTCAGACTGCATAAGGGCAGTCTTCTAGCAAATCTTGAGTCAGGCTGTGTTTCTACTGGAGGTGGGTCTTATCTCAGGAGCTGCAGTCTGGACAGCTTCTCCAGGGTTCTGGTTTGGCTAAATCTGTGAAAAGGCAGTGGAAAGTGTTAATTATCTATTTTTGGCAATTTTTTAAAAATTAGAAATAAAAAACAAGAAAGGCAAGTAGGCACAGCTCCTAAGCTTGAGCCTAGCTGGTGTTTTAATCACAATGCGTTTGACTGTTATTGTATTGCGATGTGCATCTCTTTATAAAATGCCCTTCATAGAATCATAGAATCACCAAGGTTGGAAAAGACCTAAAAGATCACCCAGTCCAACCGTTCACCTATTCCCAATAGCTCCCACTAAACCATGTCCCTCAACACAACATCCAGCCTTTCCTTGAACACCCCCAGGCTCGGTGACTCCACCACCTCCCTGGGCATCCATTCCAGTGCCTGACCACCCTTTCTGAAAAGTAATACTTCCTGATGTCCAGCCTGAATCTCCTTGTTGTCAGGAAATGCCTCTCTGAGACAGGTTAAACATATAAAAGCCTGACTCCTGAACCAGGATCTCATTGTGCTAGGGGCTACATGACAGAGAATAAAAGTCGCCTCTGCTTTGTTCTGCCCAGGTTGTAGTTGAGCAGATGTTTGTATGCATCAGGTGGAATAACCCGGGAACACTTATAGCCTTGGCAAGCTCAGTTTTAGAACAGAAAATGCTATACGAAGAGCAGAAAATGACTGTATAATTGTGCTGTGTGGTTTTCTGGGCTGAAAACCCTAACTAGGATTTCTGCCCACTGTACTCCTTAGCTGGCAGAACTGGGAATCCAGAAGCAGACAGCCAAGTGACTCCATGCAGTGCATTTTAGGGTGAACCTGGTCTTCACATCTTAAGATATGGACATAGTAATGTCAGAGAGAATGCAGAGAAAGGCTAGTGAAATGATCAAGGGATTTGAGCAGCTGCCTCACAATGCAGGGCTTCCTTTAACATCTGCCGTACAGAAAAAGTGAATGCTGAGGAAACATGAGGGAAACGAAGGCAGCCAGATCATGACCCTGAACAGCATCTGCTACTTTTACAGCTGGAAAAAGAATATGAGGTTAGATGTGACAATGGGCTGACTCAGTGGCAAATGACTTAAGTTCATTTTTAGTCACTGAAAGTTTTAGTAAGGTGAGAGTTGAGAGATAGAGGTAATCATCAACATCGTGCTTCTTGGCATGACAGGACTGTACTGTTTTAGAAGAAATACTGAGGTAGTTAATCTATAGTAATGCTTATTTTCAAGCAGGTTGCTGGCAACAGGGAGTATCTTATAGATTTTCACTTCAGAATTTAAGGATAGCATTTTCCTTTGAGGGGGGGGGGGAAGCACTGACATCACTGAATGCTGCTGAAACCAGAAACCACATACTAAAAAAAGTCCATGCTTTGCATGATTTACTCATTTTCAGGTGGAGTCACCTGCAAAACCACCATCATTAAATATGGCTTGCTGCGTAAATCAACAGTGCTGTTAGGCTATGAGCAGACATCCTTCTGATGGATTAAAAAAGAAAAGGCAACATTTATTTTTAACCTGTGTCAGTTCCCCAAATCAAGTAACCACAGACGGTTGTACCCATAGCACGGAAGTGGGAGGCAGATAACAAGCAGCACCGTCGTCCTCCGAAAAGAGCATGAGAGCAGCATCCTGCAAACTAGACATCAGGAAAGATAGACTTAGCTGGACACGTCCTGTTCTTGGTGAGATCGTGTGGGGAAATCAGAACAGGGAAGTGAAATGGACAATAAAAAAAAAAGTGAAAAGGCCTTGTGTTGAAATTAGTTTTCTGATGCAGTTCACCCAGTGCATTCATG